AAAAGCGTTCAAAGATGCTGTACCTAGCACAGGTATACTTGGTGATAATTTATATGCTGTTGATGAAGACACGTTTTCTACTAATTCTGCAAGTAAGATTTTTTTATTCTTTTATTCTAGACGGCCGTAATTTATATAATCATTAATTTGTCCAGCATGTCTATTCTAACCGTCTTGTTTGTACCCTTCGATGTTTTAGTGTACTTTCATAATCTCGCATTAAATCGACACTGTCGTCACTAAAGTGAATGTGTAAATGACAGACTCAGGAAACACTAATGTTTCCATGGTGAACGGGAAGCTAGTAATTTAACAAAACCAAATTATATGTAGGTATATCGTGTAGTTCGTGTAAGTAAGTAAATACCACTCAATAATTATAATATCACAACAAAATGTGAGCATGCGCAGTTCCGATGTTACGGTGTTAATTATGTCATGAATAGATCCTGGAACAAATATTCTGACTGCACCATATAATCCTTGATGTGAGTGTGATACAACATATTGCCACACACCCATTATGTTGATACTACTAATAGTGTCTCTTACTGAAATATATCTAGTGTCATGCATGTTTGGGACAAATCTGAAACACATCTGGTCACTTTATCGATTACTTTGAAACTAGTGTGACGGAAAATTGGGTCTGGATAAAACTGTCACAGTGTTTCGTTTTTTTCTATCGGCAATGGATTTAATTTGGAATAGTATATTCCAATGACTGAAACATTTGAGCAATATAGTTTCAACTGCCTTATTGATTAAATCTTTGCCCTGGTTTTGTCTCCAGTTCGATAACTGATTAGAATAATAAGGCTCTTATAATAACTTTTACAAAACACATGCAAAACTATTCGTATTTTGAAACACATATTTGGTTAAAGGCATTAAGGGAAAGCCAATCAAAACAGTTAATTATTCTATGGTTCTATATGTATTCTTTTCGGGAATTCTTCATAACCTGATTTACATAGTCATAATAGAAAAATTAAAGTTGAAATAAATTTAACCAATTTATTTCACACTCGCATAATTTTTAACAGCTGTTCAATGTTCAATTAGACTAGTTACAAAAACTCACCGTTGTGACATATTTGAATCTTGATTGATATGTAAAATGTTTGTAAACTTACTGACGTGTTTAAAATAACCCATAATTCCTACATAGTAGAACAATAGTGAGTTTAATCTTTTCAACACCAAAATCAACTTTTGTCACTATTCAAAACATAAAAAATATATATATTTATACTATAGTTGGTTGTTCGTATATTTTTCAATATTTTGATCAATAGGAAATGATGTCCATTGGTCCAAAATTAGAAAAATACGTAAAATGGACAAAATGTTGACAAAGAATTATGGCATGGAAACGTTCATTTACTTCTACTTCTGTGTTGATTTGTTCTATTTTAACTTATCCATTGCAACGCATACAATCCTCCCTGGACTAGTTTATACAGAATTGTTGTCGTTCAGTTTTTCTTCACGTCGATTGCTCGATGGTCGTAACCCACTTTATAGAAAAAACATATAAATCTCTTCTGTTTTTTGACGAGAATCGAATAGAATTACACTACGTGAAGACATTGAAAAACGCTGAGTGTGTTGCCTTGTTATAAAATGGCATTCCCTTCTTACATTTGATGTCTTTGTTTGTTATCGAATGTTGTTTGTGACGTCCGGGATTCGACTTTTGCTTCACCATCTAGTTGATATGAAGTGGTGTTCTCTAGCCGTCATTTCGAACAGCATTTTCAGATCAGTTAGTGTTGCCGTGGTAGGTAGTGCATCTGTCTTCAGTTACATGTTGTGAAGTTTGTTTGGTCATAGCGTGTCGTTGTTTACATCTATCCAGCGTTTCGCGTTTTAGGTTGGGTTGTTGTCGTTGCTCAGAACTTAATTCCCGTGCGTGCGCAGGTGACGAACCCCTCCACTTTAACTAAAGATGATCGACCTAGAAACGACCCCCTCTTTTATCTTTACACGTATTTTAATGTAAATTTATTAAACTTAGTAATCATTATGAAAATGCAATAAATGTTTGCTCGTTATCATTTAGGACATGACGTTTTGAACATACTCTCACTTCAAACAGTTCCACCTCTATTTAATACATTAATTATACTTATAATTGACTGCTTACTAGGTGTTAATATTTGTATGGACAATCTCGATGACTGTGACGTCAACGCTGACTGTACCTATCTTGGTGGAGACAGTTATACATGTGAATGTCGTGATGGATTTGAAGACATTGGAAGTGGACTTATCGGAGAATGTGAAGGTGAGTAATATGTTTTACAGTTTTAGTTTACGAATTACAACCATCCTTATATTGAATGAAACATTTGGTTTGTTTACTTTGATAGGAATCACCTGCCGTCATATAATATTGTGAATCTCATTCCTGTGGCGAAAAAAGACACATTTATGCACACTTAAATTTCAAACTGGGTTTAGTTCAGGGATATTGTAAGTTCCGAAGTACAACAAAATCGGATTTACTATATAAGTTTGACCACGTGGTAATCTATACTTGTAATCAAGGATGAACATATATTTATTTACCAACTGTGTTCCTTAATTTTACTATCAACTACGATGCCGAATTAATTCAAGGGAAACCTTTATTCAATATTTTATGTGTTTATTACGTTGATATCATGCGATATTACGTCACTCTTGTTTTAGATATCGACGAATGCTTTAACATGACCATTTGTGATGACGTCACTAAACAGTGTGTAAATACGAATGGTTCATTTTACTGTGAATGTAGACCAGGGTTTCACTACAATACAATAGATGACACATGTGAAGGTAATTATGTCAATGAAATTTGCTCTTTATCAAAAAGACGAAAGTAATACATAAACGATGCGACTATTTTCATTACGATTACTGTGTT